AGAGCACGTATACTACTTTATAGCCATTTAATGCTTCATATAAATCACAAATATATTTAAAAAAAAAAAAATCTGTCAAACTCCAGTGCCTCCTTCTTATGAGAACACAAAAGAAATAAAAACCTATGTGGTCAGAATAATTAAATTCAAAAAATAAATCCTTAAAAAACAACTTGTGATGATTCTATAATGGGTGCTCTGAAGTCATACTGATGTAATATAGTTAAACTTCCAGAATCTTAGAATTCAGTGGTCACAGTTGCAGGTTAAATTTTGGAAAATAAAGTCAATGTACTATATTCCTTCTCTAACTGCAGAGACTAATTGAGCATATGAGTCACCCACTGCTTCATGTCAGTATAAATATCATTGATTTCTTTGCAACTGCATTAGCATAAAACAGATGTAAAATGTTGCAGTGAATCAGGCAGGACATTAAGATACAATTATGCTATTTCTACCAAAACAAATGGTTACAACAGATATTCATGTGTTCCATTAATTTGCAGTTCACTGTGAATCCTTTCTTGAAAAAGCTTTCCTGCCCTGTAGGACTTTCCTTGAACAAATGAAGAGTAAAACAGCTCAGTGATCAAGAAGCATATATTCGTAATTTTTAGTAAGGAAAGGGATTTTTACTTGAAGAATTGCAATGTATCATCATATGAGGGTGTAGAGTTGTAAACAAAATACAAGGCCAGTAGAGCTTAATTCATTACAATAGAACAGAAGTTTTGATTTGTCTTCAGATTTGTTGTTTGTTGTTTCTTCCATTTTATTGCATATTTAAGCTTTGGGAGGAGGTTGCTGCTTTTACATGATTTTATCTGTCCTTCTAAATCTCCCTCCCTCTCTGTCTCCTGTGAAGGGGGAAGAATTTAGACCTTTATTTGGTCAACATTTTCTCTTGCAAATAATTTTAATTTTCTCTTTTGAAAATGTTTTGCAGTATAATCCAAGAGTAAGACGGTCCTTGTTCTGAAGCATACTTCTTTCAAGCTGTAGTTTAAATAGCTGGATTGGTACTTCTTGCAGCATTTAAAACCTGTTCAAGATTAAAAGAAGGAAAGAAAAAGATGCCTGTACTTTCGTGCCAAGTCAGCAAGACCTTGAAGAAAGCACTGCCACTGCTTTTCCTGAAGCCTGTGTACCAAAGGTATTCAATGCCTTTGGCCGTGTTTCATCAGAACATAAGTATTGAAACAGAACAAGGTAATTTTGAAAAGGAAAGATCTCAGACCTGCTAAGTATGACAGATTAAATTAGAGTTCAAAAATAACTTTTCCCCCAAAGTCTGTGCCCTTACGGGAGCCCTTCTGTCTTCTAGTTCTGCCACCTGAGTGACAAGCTTCGCAAGGCCACTGTCGTACGGGCTGTGGGTCTTGTCTGCTCTGAGGTCTTCTCTAATCCCAACCCTTTCACTCTCTACCCAGGTTGCAGGTGTGTGGCTCCCTGCCCCATCCCAGTGCCTGTCTCTACCAGTCTCATCTCAGCCAACAGCAACTTCCATCTCTGTTGCCCGATTACACGCTTCCCCTTACATTTTAACATAAATTAAAAAATAATATGAATAAGTCGTCAAACTAGAAATAGTTAACAGAGCAAACAGTTACCTGAGCTTCTGTTTTCACACATCATTACTGCTGAGCATTTGGTGTTTGGATTTGGCTTTGTGTATTCTTATGGGTAGAAACTTTTTGATTGTACTGGGAGCTTGAATTGATCTTGTTGGAAGGAGATCTGCAATATGAAAAAATAATCCGTCACTGCGCTCTTTATTGAGTTTTTCTCAACAGAAGGGCACAAAAAGGGCTTAAGAAAAGTTACATGAGATATCTTTCTTTGCTAAAAAGATAGTCTGTATCAGTTCCTGAATGCATCAACAAAAATAAGATAGCACGTACAAAAGGTGCAGTCTTTTCTTTCTCTAGCTTTCTCCTTGGATTTTGAAGGCCATTTTTTCAAGCCATAAGCTTCTTTGCCGAAGGTCAGCTGCAGATCTACCTCGAATACTTGTCTGAGCTGACAGTATCATATAATTCAGAATAACCTCAACCTCCTCAGGGGGGTTTAACATCCAGGCTGTATTTAAAGGCGACTGTTTAGGAAACATCTCAGTGAACCTCTCTGCCAACAGAAGGGAAAAACACCAACGTTCATTTCCTTAAACTGGGTTTTAACCGTTTTAAAGTAGAAGTTTGAATTTTTTTTAATAGCAACATGATTGACATGAAAAGTAGAGGTGAACCAGGAGAAGGTTAATCCAGGAAAGATTACAGTTGCATAGGAATGGCTGTGTTCTGAAAGCAAAATATCCCTTCCCAAGGTCCTTTGCTTGAGCACCTTAAAGTTTTTCTGCTTCCATTTTTCTTTCATTAAAATGAAACTCCTGGGTTTCTGTAGGTAATACCACTTTTCTGAAACTAACAAGCTAAAAGATTTCAACAGGAGGACAAGAACTAAGTTAGCAACAACAGAAAAGAACAACATACGGAGTTGGCTAACAGTAATAGTACATTAAATTCATAGAGACTCAAATGTCATCTATTATTTTCCTTTGTAAATCAGTATATTGCAAATCGTTCAAATGACATCTTCCATGTTATTTTCAGGTAAAGATTCAAGGTCATAACATAAACCAATTATCAACAAAATGTGAAAAAAATCCTGTAGTATCTTCCTATGCTTAAAAGAGAAGAATTTATAAAATATTTTTAAGGACATTTTCAGTATCTTATTGAACAAATCAATGGCAAATATTTACAGACAAGATCACCGAATAAAAAAAGTTTAGTTCGAAGAAAAATGCCTTGTGATATCTCATATCATTAAGCAATTGCATAATTAAATATGTGAAGAAAATATTCAATACTGAAATGAATTATCTGGTTATTTTCTTGGGGTTATTTCTCAAGTTTTTCTTTCTCTTTTTTAAGTAGTTCAGTGGGTTTTTTTTTTTACTCAAATAATGTTATTTATTAAATTCTCTTTCTGTCATATTTTCCACATTTGTTTTATTCAGATAAGCAGAGGAGTGCTTTTGCTGTTTTAAGAATTCCCCCTGCACACAAGTAGACACAAACTTCTATGAAGTTTGGTAAGTTGTCACAGGCAAACTGTCAAGCCACGAATACATCAAAGGATCACCACTTACACAGTGAACTTAAAAAATACCACAGACCTTCTTATCTCCTACCAACACACCTTTCGCTTAAGAGTCAGCAGCAGTATTGCTTTATGGTGTCTAGTTCAAAATTTGTTCAGCAGTGGCGTTTCTCCCACTTCCTTAATCAGACCTTTATACTATTAGTGCATATCACCACGAGCATATTTTGTCATTCAGCATAGCTTTTCAATGTTCAGATTCCATCAACTGCTTGTGATTAATCTTCTTGAAAATAAATAAATATGAAACTACCCTTCTTGAATCTCAGCATTTAGCAATATCTAGCCGTCATGTTGCAGCTGTGGTTTTATCACTAACAGTCTTATCTTCCTGACCCATTTAGGTGCTCAGTGTTACATTAGAATGAAAATCCAGTTAGCATTTTGGGTCCAAAAATGTAGATAATTTTCCAGCTCTAGAAATGTAAAAAGATAGTCTATATAAAGACCCCTTCATACATATCCTCTTGCACATGGGGGGATGAAACAATTTGTTGTAGAATTACAACTTATATAGTGCAACCTGAGCAATTGCCAGTGCATTTAAAAATAAATCATCAAGATTTTGAATATACAAATCATTTTTTCTCTACATTTCTACTCTGCAGAAGGACTTTAAGTTTTGATCATTTTTTTCTTCCTCTGAGGAAGTAAAGACTTCTCTGAGTAAAGACTAATGTACCCTAAAATGTGACTGCATTTAAGTCAAATTTTTTTCCAATTTCTTTGGAAGAATTCTCGGTATTAACTTCTGCTCTGATGTTAATGAATACGTATTAAAGAATCTTATCCATTATGTTACTGCATCAGGCATGCATGTAGATTAATCCAATTTGGGGTCTTTATTAGTGCAATTAAATTAGCACAATGCAGAATAGGAGAGAGGAAATTGAATTATTTGCCTTTATCCAACTACACTCAGCCCTCCTGTTTAAAGAAACCAAGAATAGTGAATGGAAGAGGAGGTAATTTCCTTTATGGTAATTTAAAGGAAGACTGTCATCCATGGAGAGAGTTGTGTCATTTGTTGCTGAGCTACCATTCTGAGTTGATTAGCCTGGCTTCTAGATAGAAGAGCTGATCTCCAGAGACACAGAGGCCAAGACCAAACTATTCAAAACACTCCCTCCTTCCAGTCCATTTTCTTCATTCTCTTCACTGAAGATTCACCGAAACAGTCCCCTTGCCCTGACCATTTTTCCACTGGTCACATTTATAAGTGGAACCTGGAGCAATCTCCTTTTTGGCTGTCTCCTGCTTCACTGCACTGCCACAGCCAAGGCCTTTTTCCTGGAAGAAGCAGAAGCAAGTAGATTTTTCTCTCTTTCTGCAGTATTGCTGCGGGGCTATCTGTTAAATCTTAAATGCTAACAAATCATTAAAAAGGGTATTAACATATTGTGCTGGCCTTATGCGTATATCTTATTCTTCACTCACTTATAGCAATTTCCATTAGAGAATCTAATTACAGAAATCATTGTGACGTGCTTTGAAACAGAATCCTTCATTATATCTTATCTATATATTGGACTGGGTGAAATTAATGCACCAGGAAACAAAATGATGCACCCAGAGACATAAAAGATCTGTGTTCAAGTCAAGACTGAAATCCAACCCATGTATTTCCAATGTGTTTGTGCAATTGCTTCTGTTTTGTTTTGTTTCCTTCCAATTTTTGTTTTAAGCGACCGCTCTACAGTTATACATTCAGCTGTAAAATTACACTATGCTGTTTGTTTGCTGTTTAATTGTAATTGGCACTTAGAGAACAATTACTGAGATACAACTTGATTATCTCTGTGAACATCTCCTTCCTTTGCTTTGGGCTTCTCAGGATGAAGAGAAAAATGGGATTACTGGGAAAGAAGAACAATGTTATGGCAGACAGAGAACTGGAGTGGAAGAGACCAAGGAACTACTCAGGTGACCATGGCATGTGTAGTTGCTGTTTCTGTGAAAGTCTCTTCTCCATAGAGAAAAGTGTATTTTCCAGCCTTTTTCTGCTGGGGTCTGTAGGGAGAATCACAGGTTAGAGGTTCAAGGAAGTGGGAGGGAATGTTGCAAGATATCCTTCCCTTATGTTATCTGCTAGGTCCACGGGCTAGAAGGACATGGTAGAGGCACTGTTTATTTCTCTTTTTTACGTATCTTATGTAAAAAAAAAAAAGACAAGTAAAGCTTGTGCCTTCTCCCAAATTATATCTGTGAAGTCAGTTTTCACAGTGGCTGTAGGTTCCTAATTTGTGAATCCAGGCATACTGCACAGGTGTTCAGAGGGGACTTGTAGTGTAGTCTTTAGGGGAAGAATCAGTAATACTCTATTTAAAGGCTGCTGCTTTTAGTGGGTGCGAAAAAGAACCCTGTTCTGAGAACCAAATAACTGACCAAGAATCCCTGGATTTTTGTAGTAACTGTGACTGTTGCACAACAAGTGAATGTGCTTAGACAACATATAGTATCACTGATACTTAGCCATCATTTGGAGCTGAATGTTAATTTCTTAATTTCTGTTTTGCTCTTAAAGCCATATGGAGAGAAAAGAGCATGAAATCCAGAACAATAAAATAGTAATTTATATATGAACAAATAAATGAAGATAAATGAAAAATAATTTTCACTGAAGGGAATTTGTTTTCATTTTGGAGATTTCCTGAGTACTTACTCTTAGTTTTAATTAAAAAAAACACAGTTGTGTAAGAAGTTTTATTTGTAATAATAATAATTTAAAAATATATTCATGTCTATTTATCTTTTCCTTCAACTTCAGATTTTGTGAAACATCACTCATTTGTAAACTAGTATAAGCATATGTAGTATGACAAAAAAAATTTCAGTGTAGAGAAATACTTCATCTTTTTGCATCATTTGCAACTGCAACATGAGAACAGCTAGCCAGTGAGTTCTTTAAAGACTTAAATATAAGAAACATGCAGGTGATTGAAGACCGTAATGCCACATAGCATCCTGGAGCCAGGCTTTATTAACTCACAGAATCCTTTTTTCTACTGTACAAATATCTGACATCTACTGTACAAACATTTGACTTCTGAACCTCCTCTTTTCATGATGTTACCAGCAATCATTCCATTTCCTGAGATAAGATAAATGTAAGTAAACATTTAAATCTGATTGAAAAGATAGCTGTAATACAAATGAAACTCAGCCTCCAACTAATTTTTTTCTATTTAGATTTTTCAGATAGGATCAGATGGACTATTGACACTCTGGGAGGATCTTGTGAATCCAGATTATGATTTTTCCAGGAAAATAGTATGTAAGTGCTGCTCTTAGAAAACATGAAGATACTTCATAGAAGTTGGTTGAATTCTAAGGCTTCATTGGTCCTTAAAACTTGTGCTGTTATTAAGTTCCTGTACTTGAGGAAATTCTTTTAGTATTAAAAAGAATTGAAAAGAACGCAATACATAAATGAAGACTATTAAGAGAAGATCATAAGAAATTTTCATTGAGGGTCATTTTTGTTAAGTATGCATCACTTTTGTTAAGTTTGCATCACTTGGAATATGAAGCCCAGGTTTCTGGGGGAAAAAAAAAAAAAAAAAAAAAGCAAGGTTTTGTGTATAGTATTTTCCTATTTTTAAGGATGTTATATTTTTGCAGTGAGATTATAACCTCTAAAGCATAGGAACTGTATTCTCTTTCAAAATTCTCACTCCTTGAATAGCAGACAGATGTTGATTTGGGCTAAATGGCACAGAAGAACTTTATTGGCTTGTTTTGATGAAAGCTGAAAATCTCATCAGTTATCATCTACATCAGTCATCATATGGCTGGAGATTCAATAGTAGTGGAAAACTTTACTCTGAGATAGTTTCATATATGAATTCAGCGCATCTTTGCCACAACTTTTAGAATGTGAAAGTAAAAAGCTAGTGATGTTTTTCATGTTTCAAAAGTAAAACCTTCCCCCTGAGAACTGCACGTGGTGTGCAGAGACTGCACAAAGCCCCATAGCGCTAGTCACTGATTCCAGTGTTCTTTGAGATGGACCATGCAGCTTTCCTTGTTGCTGTCTTCCAACTTTGTAGAAGTAAGATCTCTTTCCTATTCCTAGCTATCATATTTCCTAGCTATCATATTTTTTCTCTTACATAATTACGCATATGATCACAACTCACGAGTGTGTCACTGTGTGCTTCACACAAATAACTTTCCAGTCATACTCATACATTAGAAATAGTTACAATATCGGTGGGTTGTGGTTATTTTTTATGAGCATTTTCCTCAAAATTTTACTTCTGATGCTGCTAATGTCATTTCTGAGTTTTATTATAATTTCAATTTTTAATAATGTTTGTAATCAAACGGTATGTATTTCTTAGTTTTAGCCAGTGTGGAAGGAAGGTTTGTGGATTCAACTGTAAAGCTTTCAGAGAAGATGAAACTGGAATGCATATATCCAAAAAAAGCTGTGATAATACAGACATCCTGGATGAAACAAAATGGAAGTCATAAAGAAAATATTGCTGTCTTGCATCCTATCTATGGCATACATATTGAAGACAAATACAGGGGAAGAATATATTATGAAAATACTTCCAGGGAAGACCAATCCTTATCCTTCAACAACAGTACTTTGGAAGATGTTGGTTTTTACTTTTGCTCCATTGTAACTTATCCAGATGGAGTTTCTGAGAAGGTAATAGAAGTTATTCATCCAGGTAAGGAAATTTCTCATCACTTTTTTAATTTCTGATATACGCAATACAGAAATTTATGCAAATATAGGGAATATCTGGCTCTGTAACTTTTCAGTTATACTGCACATATAAATGGAGTAATTTAGGTGAAAGTACAAACACATCAGAAAATTATTATTTTGCTTTAACAAAAGTTTATTTTAAGAGAAGTAGGAAATAAGGAGTGGAACTGAAGGACACAGATGTATGTCACAGTACCAGTGTGTCACATGTCAGACTTTACATAGCAACTATCATTTCAGAAGTGCATTTCTATAGTCTGCAGGATCTTCTCAGAGAATTGAATTAAACCTTATGACTGCCCATGGAGGGTAATGGATTTTTATTGCTGTGCTTTATAGTGAGGATGCTACTGTGCACTGGTCTCAAAAATAAGAAAAACAGGAAAATGAACAAAGAGACAAAACAGCAACAATAACAAAAAACAGCAACAGCAAGTGAAAACATTTATGAATGGTGTGGCAGAAAAAAAAAAAAAAAAAGGGGACATTTATATGAAGAAGAATGACCTTTTCTTTAAAAGGAACCTGCTTGAAGATGGAAAAAGGAAGAAGAAAAAGATCAGATTCACTTATGCCTATGTACTTTCTGTACAGCTGCTCACACACTTTCCAGAGGCTCTCTAACTATCTGACTCATCTGATTTGATTTCCTTTCCAATTCTGAGTGAGAAAGAGCAGAAAAAGCCCATTCAAGTATTTTTCTATGCATGCCTGCTTATATTGGTCAGCTCTGGTGCAAAGTACAGAGATTCCCTGATGACAGGAGTGGAACTGTAGTCATTTAGTACTTAGAAGTTCATTACACACAAATGATAGAACAGCCTTCAGAAGACAACTGGTTTTGATTATTGGTTTATTGGTTTGATACAGTGAATGTAAAGATAATCTCTTTCTCATCCCAAGTGGAAATAGACCTCATTCAATATTTTATTGCATTTTGTAGTTAGGAAAGAATGAGTTGAAGGAGTTTAGTTCTGTTTCTTTCTGTTTGAAAGAAGATTAAAAATAATTCCTAGCCTGATCCCTCCAAATCTTACTTTCAAATTTATTTTCTCTAAACCTCTGTTATTTCAATGTTACAAATAAATAGTTGAGCTGATATTGTAGTAGATATGTAATTTAAATAATTTCAAGTTATACTGTTCCTACCTTTGCCATTGAAGACTTCTGAAACTTGATTTTAAACACCAATTTGGGTAATGGAAATGAGATAGGAATCCATATCTGCTTTCCTATCTGTATTAACTTTTTATCACTAAATATGGATGTTTATCAAAGCAGAAATTAAGCCAGACAAATTATTGGCCTGACTTTAAAAAAAGCTATAATTCTACTTCTTTCAGATTAGTTACATAAGTTATTTCAGAACTGAAATTATTTCTGCCTTTGTAGTCCACTAGCATACTCATACAGTTCAATTATTTGCATGGAGAGGGAATGTCCATCTGGTGGAAGAATTAAAAAGGTCCCTCAGGGTAGGCTTGCAGTTCAGATCACAGCTCCTCAGCTATGATTCCTTGAGTGTCTTCTCTGACTGCTTGCTTCAGCCTAGCATCTGTTTTATTATGTAAAGGAATAACTTTTGGAAACAGTACCTCTGGGTTTCTCTGTCAGTCTGTTCAATGTTAATATAACTCCAGGCATTAGAAACATTTTCTTTTTTGTTGCATTTAAATAACCCAAGATCTGAAGATTCAGGTTGTTATTTACAAAAAGCAGTAGACAAACTAGATCTCTTCTGAGGCTCTGTTTAACCAGAGTTCTGTCAGTGAGTTGATTTAATAAAAAATTAAGTTAGATGCAGTAGAGGTTTGCAAGCTCGTTTAGTCCTTTTTGTCTGGCCAAAGAAGTGCTGACCTCAGCTATTTGTGTCTGATTTTGTAGTTAGCTAGGTAGTGAGCTTCCTTGGGATTCTATCTGTCAGTCTAATACTTATGTAATCAATCCACTTACAGATTTCAGCACACTGTAAACTAAACAAAAAAAATATCATTTATCAGAGTCACATTTTTAAAATGATAGCATTGGATATAATATTCACTATTTAGGGTACCTCACTTCATTGGAGCACTTTAAACCTCAAAACTAAAACATCCATATTTGCATTGTATATATTTAATCTTGCTACAAAAAAAAAAAAAAAAAGATAATAACGTTGAATAGAAGTTAATCTTTTCCCATTTAAAGAATTGAGGTTTCTCAGAACAGGAAAAATCAATTTTGCTTAGCTCCCAGTAGATGCTCATAAACAAGATCTTTGTACTCACTGATCTGGAGAAAAGGAAGCATATCAACAGCAAAGATGAAACATTGCAGTTTCAATCTACTCTGCAAATTAAATATGTTATTAAAAACAGATCTCAGAGAAGGCATTTTTTAATGTAGTGGTTATAGAAGAATTGTTATTAGTGAGGCTTTATCTACCTTTTAATAGTGCACTCATCAGTAATAAATATCTTAAATTCCTTGGATGACACCTTGCTTTGATTAAATCAACAGTAAACTTCAGTTCTGCTTCCATGCTGCCAGTATTTCAGCTTGCTGCTGATAGCATATGAATAATTTTTCTTTTTATTTGTCAGCTGGCAAAGTTAGGACATTGGTGTTTGCTTTGAAAGTTTTTGTATTCTTCACCAGAGAAAGCTAAGTGTTAGTCTCATCCTTTCATCAGAAATGGATCTGTCTCTGTAGGATGAACATACACTGCTTGATAGTTGAAGTCCAGGAAAATGAGGTCCTTTTAAAGGAATTTTATATTCTTTGTTATACACAAATCTGCCCAAAATACCAGAAAAAAAACATTTAGTGGGTTATTAAAACAGCTTTTAATTATACTGCCCTCCTTGGTTTCTGGATCTGTCTATTGATTCACAATAAGCATAATTTTTTAGAAAAACATTAATTTGCCTTTACTACCCCAGATAAATGAGCAACTCACTGTAAAATCCATTTCTTCTATTTAAACAGTAAATCAACAAATCTTTAATAGAGTAAATTTATTCATTGAATTGGAGAATTGCATTATGCCTAATGCTTCATAATTTATGGTTTTATTTTTCAAGATTGGTTGATTAAGCTAAAGTTGGAGCTGTCTTTAAAAGGATGCAACTTTGTGAGCACAAAGTTCAAAATGAAATAGAAGTTTTCTTTGGTATATTCACACAGGTAAATTTAAACTGATATTAATAAGTTTTCTATGTTAACCAAAACTGAAACCTGGATTATAATTTAATTTACACTACCTTGCCACTTAGAAGTTCCAGATTTTATCTGTACTGACTTATTACTCTATGGAACACAGATCTTCCTGCTAAATCACATAAGTATGAAAATTTGCATAAAGTGTCATGGATAAACTGTTTGTTTACCCAAAAAGGAATTCTTCTGCACTCAAATGGTTCTCTGTTGCTCTGGTGTTTCATTACTCTTAATTAAGAGGTCAGGAATCAGATTCTGCTTTCCCAAGTTCTTTGTATAGTTAAAAAAAAAAAACAAAAGTGAGTACAAAGTGAGTATAATTGGTATGATTTGTCAACATTTTTTTCATTAGCACCATAGGAACATCAAGTGCTAATGCTTGATGAGTTAATATTTCATAGTGTCTCACCACTACAGCACCATTGAGCAACACAGAAGTGCTAGCAGGCCTTTAACACTATATGAGACTAATCAGTCAGAAAAGTTGGGGGATCATGACTCTCTTAAATTACAAAAAAAAAAAAAAAAAAAAAAAAGTGTGCAAATGTGTGTGTATGTGCAAATTTCCACACTTACAATTTTTTGTATGTAAAGATTCAGTCATTAACTGAATCACATTTCAAAACAGATTGGCGTTGTAGGAGAATCAGCAAAACTCTTTTTTACAACTTACTCTCTGATCACAGAAAACCTCTTCACCCCACCATGTGATAGATGGGGTGAGCTAGCTTCGTTTTCCACCAAGGGAAAAAAAATTAAAGAGAAGAAAATTTAATCCTGGATAAGGAATGATTGACTTGCCACAATGACCAGAAGTCCTGAGAAATGGAGGAGGTTATAGCTCTCATTACAGATGCCTTTTCTTGGAATACTATCAGTTTTGCATCTCTGACAGATGGAAGACCCTAGAAGTGGTGATAAATCATCATTTAGAGCAATTTTTGACACAATTGTTGTAGCAATTGATTTTGTTTTTGTTTCTGTTTTTTACCAGATCTGATCTCAAATTTGTCCTGGGGCTGTTTCAGAAGATATGTTAAAAATATTAGGACATACTCTGCTCTTTTTTTTTTTCACCTTTAATTTTTGCTAAGATTTCTAGGATATCTGTGAAACATTAGAAAGAGCTCTCCCAGGCTGCACGATGCTACCCATGCTTACTTTATTGATTCAGAGATACAGACAGTAAAGCAATAACAGTTGTGGCATAGCTACTTCACGCGCTACATAACTACAGGATAGTTTTACAAGCATTTGCAGTACTGAAATTCTGTAACATAATTGCAGAGAACTTGAGATTGTTTTCTGCCTTTTTTTTTTTTTTTTTTTTTTTTTACTTTTACATCAATACTTTGGAAAAGAATAGTCTATTCATCCCACAGGAAGATATCTGCCAGCTGTGTGAATCTATCACTTTTTTTTATCTTGTAATGTGAATGTGCATGCAGCAGTTTTTGGAAGAGAATTTAAGAGCATTTTCTTAATATTCCTACATTTTATGAGTCACAACCTGCACTAGACCAATAGAACCCATACTTCCTGAAAAACTCCTTGCACATTTGTTGGTTTTTTTGTTTGTTTGTTTTTTAATGAAAAGATTCTGTAGGATTGGTTACTACTTACAATGTTTCACCTTAAGGAACAGTTTAAGGACAATCTTTTTCCTTATATACAGCAATTAGATGTGTATGACTGAAGACTGATTTTAGGTACCATGTAAAATGTGAGGAGCACAGAATAAAGTCACTGCTAATGGAAGAA